ATGGTTCAGTGGATGCATCATTCAGAGTAAACGGTTCAGTGGATGTCTCGTTCATATAAATCGTAGTGTCAGCCAATAACACGCCAGTGGTATTCGTTACAGGATTTGGTGCAGTGGCATTGATATCAACCAAATATGCAGTTGTTTCAGTAGCATTCATAGAAGTAGATGAAACGGTAGTATCAGTCATTGAAGCAGTAGTTGCAGCAGTTGTACTCTCGGTGATACCTTGAAATAAAAGCGAATATGTTAAGACATAGAGTTCTAAGGTAGGCTGGTCTATTCGAAGATAGACTCTGTGGGATACTCAAACGAAGTGCCTAGTTTAGCAATCACACACGGTGGTGGCAATATTGCATCATACGGTTGCAGCAAAAATCCTGCATCTTTCAGTATATACAAACACAATCGCTGAATAAACGGCAATGGCGACGAACAGAAATTAGTACAAGGTATTAACATGACAACATGTCACCACCTAGTTGCTCACAGTATTAGTTCAATCATAAGTCAGATTTGAATTTCTGAAAACTTGTACAGGATTTTGAAAAAATGGTCAATTTGAAGCAAGATGAAAAAATACCTTTTAGACCTCGAGAAGGTCATTGAAGGTCAATTCTTTTTTTGCCCTTGAGAATGTCATTGAAGGTCAAATCTATAGTCAAATTTGAACTGTTGAGAACTTGTAGATGATTTTGAAAAAATGAATTCGTCAATTTCAGAGTAAATAATTCAGTGGATGTATCGTTCAGATAAAATGGATAAGTGGAAGTATTAGTAGTAGTGGTTCAGTTGATGTATCGTTCCAATGAAATGGTATCAGTGGAAGTATCGTTCAGAATAAATGCATTGATATCAGCCAAAGATGCAGTTGTTTCAGTAGCATTCATATAAGTAGATGACGCGGTAGTATCAGTCATTGACGCAGTAGACCTTTTGACCTTGAGAAGGTCATTGAATGTCAAATCTATACTCAGCTTTGAACTGTTGAGAACTTGTAGATGATTTTGAAAAAATAAATTCGTCAATTTGAAGAAAGTTGAAAAATACCTTTTGACCTTTTTGAACTTGAGAAGGTCAATTCTCAAATTTAAAGTTAGATTTGAAGTTCTGATAACTTGTAGATGATTTTGAACATGTAGATGGTTTTGAGTCAGTCTAAACAGTATTTGTTTAGTTATTGGAAGTTGTAAGAATTTGTTACATATGCCAATCGCCAACCACCAACCGTCGTCAAAAATCGGAGACCATAACAATATGTCACCACTTTTTGGTGGTGACATAATGACGCAACGCTACACATTATATACGAAAGCTACCCAGAACTGTTATGTGTTGAGATAACTAGGTTAACATCGGGAAAAGATTGAGTGTTATTTAAGTAACTTTGTCCCACGTAATGGTACAGTCTAATGAGCAAAACTGGCCTTGTATTCCGAGTATTTTGTAACTTTTTGGGAGCCATGTCCTCCCCGCCTGCCATTTTGAAATAGACACCGTGCATAGGTGGCACACGGTTGAGTACCGGTTCGTGGTAGATACCATTATCAGAGGTTGTAAAAATGATATGCCATGAAGCAGACGTGGTGTTTCCTCACCTCGTAAGGAATAAGAGCAAATGGAAACATATCATCAACAAGAATGTTATTCATACTTTACCTAATAAGGCAGATGCATTTATAAAGATCAGTATTATTCCGTAGTTCCCATTCATTGTCAACGAAAAATAAAGTCACCCAATTGCAGTGTAGGAATAAAGCGTTATGTAATTTACATTTTCATGATTTCCTTCTAAATGTGTAAATACATTTAGTCATCATAAAATTAAAAGTTAGGTTATGTTGATGGAGGAAATACTTAAAATACTGATTCAAGATAAACCATTTAAAACTATTATTATTAAGGAACAAAGAAATTCCGATTTGGCCGATGGGAATTAAAAGTAAAAACAAAAAATATATACTTTCTCCTACGTGTTCCTCCTAAGTAGGCAAAAACCATGTATTTCCATTATTTTACGTGAAGATGGCGAGACTAATATTACCCTGTTTATCCAAATTCAACATTTGAATGAGTTTGATACAAACTTCAATTTTTCTTATGAGTCTTTTTGATGATGGCATGGGAATATTAATATTAAAAGAATCTTGGATCAAAATGGTTTTTATATGCAACATTAATGACAATTTTGCATTTGTCACTAAATTATTATGTAGATTATGTAAATTATTATGTTTTATTGTGTGTCCATCATAACTACCGGTAACTATGATCAATATAGATGACTTGGTGTATTCATATGTTGATGTTTTGACGCACGAGGAAAGATGTTCTTAAAAAGATTATATAACTTGATATCCCGTAGTTGAGTAAATTGCGACCCAAATGTGACCAGATATGTTCCTTAAAACATCATGCGTCCTTGATGTTATCACAAGGAAACTCAGTTCGAATATATGAGGAAAAAACATTGTCACTTCGATAAGGTATATATCAAAGAAGTGATTAATGCATATCCGGAAATAATTCCAGCGACATTGCATCGCTTGATGTTTTTAACTGTTTTGCTAGGATTTAGGCAATGGCCAATTTAATTAAGGGCAATTTTAACTACAAGTTTTATCTACCGAAGCTTGACACTTCTTGGCTATTTTACGTCAGAAAGCTGTCATATCTAAAAAGGTCAAAAATAAAAGTTGATAAAATATTAAAATTAAAAAGGATTTAATCCCTGGACTCAGTGCATTGTGAACTGATTATCATTCCTCAAAGGTATTGTTGCACGAGATGCGTAGCACCGAATGCTAAGTTTAGGAAACAATGCCCAAGTGGAATAAATCAGCCACAATGCAATGATCGTCTTGGGGTGAATTTATTTTCACATATTGCAAAATATTTTCTACGATATCACGTAAAAGATACGAAATCACTAATAAAACATATTTTCTGTAGGGTCAAGATCACCTTGCCAACTGTTGAACACTTACTATTTGACCTGCATGCGCACTTGTCTTATTATATGTTACTATTTATAGATTTTTACTCCGGCAACTATGAAATTTATCAGCTTTTCACTAGTTTCACTGGAGTTTACGGAATGTTGGTGACACACCTTGCCTAACTTTGTGTGAATACTCAATACTTTAGGGGCGTTCGAAAAGTTTGTATCATTTTGCTCTGTATCACCGGGGCCAAAACATCGTCATTAAAGAATTAAATAGTTCTTGTTGCTTGTTGACGATGTTGCTCAAATACGTTTGGTTTGGTTCGCTCGCATTCAACAAAGAAGTATAGATGTCAGGATAATATATGTAAGATACGGTAATACCTTCAGATTAAGCTCGGTTGGAACTTGAATTAATCAACCAATGAGTTCTTTGGCATGGAACGTAGTGTATAATGTTAAATGCAATTTTATAATTGTATAGTATTATTGCAAATCAGAAAAAACATTGTATGGTATCTCATTGAATAAATCTAAGAATAAATAGCTTTAAAAAATTATTATTTTATTGACACGCAAAAAATATTTTTCATAAACATTTTTTATTGAATTAAAACACTAAATGTAGTATACACGTTCCAGATCCATTTGTGTGTGTGGGAGGGGGAGTATGCTGAAAATTAAACTGCAAACTGAAATTATCAAAACAATTATATCACTGTAACAATTATACGAAATCTAAAGTTAGACAAAACCAGGAATATAAAAAACGCATGGAATAATATTTGAAGAATAAAAGGAAACCGTATGAAAAAATAAAAAATAATATGAAGGGTGAATAGGACTCTGAAATTGAAAAAACATTTGATAACTTCTTAATTGTTATGTATGTGAGAAAACCTCTAATAATCCTACTTTATATTGCAGCAACACATTCGGGTATGCTTTGAAATATATACCTAATCTTAAGGTGGAATTGCAAATAGAGAGATTGGACTGTTGGTTTACATCTAGGATAGCAGCAACAATTCTATTACAGGGCCAGGTCTCACTGGCGGATTCAGGGGAGGTGGGGGTATGGCCTCAAAATGGGCTTTTTTTGGGCAGAATTTGGCTGTTACATATTCAAAATTTGGGCCCAATTTTTGATGATAGAGGCCTAATTTTTTTTCCTAAATCAAAATTTGGGCCCCCCTCCGGCCCTCCCCTTTGTAGCTTCTGAATCCGCCAGTGGATCTGGAAATTGACAACCTCCACAGGTATCTGTTTTATATGTCTCTGTACAGGCATACAAACCATCCAGGAACCAACAGGGGGGGGGGGAGGGGGCACATAAGAAATCTGAAAAAATATTTGGGCGCCTAGAACCAAAAAGTGGGCCCAAATTTCAAATTTTGAAAATCTAAGGTCCATTTTCCTGATAATTTGGCCTAAAATTCAAAAAGAAGGTCTGAAAAGGCACATTTTTGTCTATAAAGACCCACTAAACGGGACTTTAAAAAAGTTTTGGGCCCAATTCCTTTCTGCTCCCCCCCAGATCCGCCAGTGCAAACCGATCGCGAGTTCTCATCGTAGCTTTTTTAATATCAAATATACAATGATTCTTAAATATCGCCAACAGAGACTATCAGGTGCAGTTTTCAGATCACGTAACAACATTTGTAAACGAACAAGCTTGTAAAAGCTTTAAAATGTTCGAGCAGGGACTCCTCGCTGATTTAGTCAAATACAAGTAGAGTTTTCTTACGAACAGAAACCACATACTGCCTTCATTGTAGTTGCTACTAGAGACTCCTGAAATTATAAGAGATCACAATATATTACAAGTTATTAATTTGCAATAATAGCACAATGATAATACAGATGGTTTTATATTGACTCTATTCGTATAGTTTTACATACAAATAAATGTTTGTGGTAAACTACTAGATAGATTTGAAGGAAGTTTATGAAGCTCAGTCAATTTATCGAATCTTTGGAATGGGCAATCTTATAACTTACTGAGCTATAGGTAACACGCTTAGCTTCTTAATAATCCGTGAGCATCTGTAGGTCTCGGAGATCAGTCAGACACCCTTGATCGATAGAGTGTACCGAATAACTTCATACCATGTATCTTCGACACGATTGGTTCAAAGTTTAGTTTCTGGTCACGTGGTCTATAGCAGCAGACGATCTTTATCACTTCTTCAAAATGGATGGAAAGGAAACGAGCAGGACTTATGTTCTTCACATTAGAATTCTTTATGGTTGTATATTAACGTTATCACTATCGACATTTTGTGCGTTGTGGATATGTTTTTCTGAAATACATAATCTGAAACTTCGGTGCGATTTTCTAAGACAGAAAAATGACAATTTCGCTGAATTTATCAATGTTGACAGTACACAACCAACGTTTACACAGACTGCCACTCATAATGAAGATGAAGGCATGTTTGATGTTAATGATCAGACTGTAAGACAGAGGAATAAAAGGTCTATACAACTAAAAGATCTAATGGAGGAAGGTTCCGGGGATGACGACCAACAATGGGTGTGGATGTCAGCATATTCTAGAATTCCGGTAGGTTTTACAAACATTGCTTATTTGCAGAAATTGAGTTATTTGACAGTGAGGTTTGACAAGTAGTAATATCTTCCCCATCCTATTTTGACATTATTTATATTTAGCATTATTACATCGTTATATATTACTTATTGACATTATACCACCATTTCGCCTCTAACTGTCGCATCATATAAGACCTTTAAATATGCCGCTACGGATCCATTGATGTAATAAAGTCGCAGCAGTAGTGTATGGGAAAGTTCCACTTTGTAAAATCTGATCTGTGAGGATTCCCTTATCAATAAATTTCAGATCTGTTTACTTCATCATAATGAACTAAACCACTTGCATGCTAGGAATAAAAACATTGCCTAATTTGTGCCATTTGGGCCGTCTATTTATCCGCATGTGGTTCCCGTTAAAAGGTTCTCTTTGTTGGGTAACTGAACTGACAAACAGTCCTTCTGCCAGAGTATTAAATGAATGTATGAGAATGTAAAGATCACTATATCTCAGCTGGAAAACAGAAATACTTAATGAATTTCTCGATTGTTATTTACAACTACGCGTATGTGTACAATTGTACATGTCTCTGTTTTCTTGAATGCGCAACTAAATATTTCAACAGACTACCAATTACTAACTCAGTTAACGCATGTTTTAAGCGCTTTCATGGAATTAGATCCTATGAATGTCAGAAATTGATGAAAGGTGCGTAAATCATGTCCAATGTATCAAGTAAATCAAGGTCAATTTCTTAATTTTCTGCATTTCTAAAAACATTTCAATAATCCAACCACTAAAGTAATTCGACTTTTGACAAATGTTTTGTAAAAAAGTTAAGGTATGTATACAGTTAAGACAGATAATGTCAAGGTGCATAATGAATTCCATGTAAACGAGTCTGAAAAGATGTTTAACATCGCGAACATTCTTTGATCTTTCACATCTAACAAGACAGTGGTAACTTCCTCCAAACCATCATGACGTATACGTGAACGCGCAACAATGTTTGTTGGGGTTTATTTTGACGTAACTTGGGAGGTTAACGATTTCTGGCACAGATATGTTGATTAATTTTGTTAGATATATTGGCATGTAACATATGTTAGTGATCAGAAAAAATCACCATGGTAACTAAATGAGTAAACATAGTTGAAGCTCTAAATCCAAGCCTCAACATCAACATAAACACTTTTAACTTATCTCCTTGTACTGCATGGAAAAGTAAGTTTCTTACAGCAGTATGCGCTAAGGTTCCCACCACACACACTTGAATGGGTATTATTCCACATGCTATATTATAATCGTACATGGTATGTCATAACAATATACACACGGCAGATGGGTGTCTGTTGCCTAAAAACTAAACCCTAATGAAATAAAAACTACAGTGCAATCTCTAATGCAATTGTGAAAAAAAAGTTTTTATTTTTTTATGCCATCATTTATGTGATTATAACAATGTAACATGGGTGTTGTTTTGTATTACTGTAGAACACGTTAATTCACTGCACTATTATTTCGCGAGAATGCCTCCACCGGAAGGAGTATTTCGTGTTACCAATTTTCCAAAAAGTAACTTGCAGTAGGTGTATTTTATGCATTTATCCAATCATGTTGTTTTAGCATACAGTATTTCATTATTTTTAAATCCCCAGTGATATACAAATTGAACCAACCCCTTTTAAGAAAATATCATGACAGCTGAAGTTTGACCTCTGTAACTATAGTTATTGTTAATTAATTGATTGACATGGGATTTACAGGAAAAAGTTATACAATGTGAGGGTACATCTTGAACATCTTCATGTAAGTATGAGGCCAAAAGGCATTCATTAAAACATGTAAGGGTTGTTCATCATTTAGTCGTACTTGGCCATCAGTCTATGTTAAAGTTATATTTGCACAACCCTAAAGGATGACACAACATGGAATAATATGAAAGTAGGATACAAATTATTATTAAGTTTACGTAGTAATAATTTGTGTCCTCCTTTATAAGTTCCTTATCTCACATTTAACATAAAGTTGTAAATAAACAAAATTGAAAAAGTATGTTCTGGCACATCATCAAATAACGGAACCAAATTCTAAAGAAATCGGAAGGAAGGAGTCTCAACCATTTCTTCATCATCTTAGGAAAACAATATGCACTAAACATATATCAAACTTTCCTAGCCTAACAGCTTAGTACAATATCATAATTGTTTGCACAAATGATTGCTTAGGTTGAGGTAAATATCCAACTTGAGAACAGATTTATCATTCTCTGATGAAGAGGGAGACATACAATAGAAGGACGAATTCAAAGCATACCTGGTGAAAAGGTATATAGAAAGTGGCATGAAATCATACCTGATGAATCTGGACGCAAATAGTTACTTTGAAATCCACCTGACTTCAGGATAAAGCCAGGCGACTTCAAATTCAAAAAATAATATATATAGAAATCACATTGCTCTACTGATATCATTTTTACTTAAATTCTCATATCATCCCTTATTTAGTGGTATAAAGAGTACACGAATTAGATAAATATTGGTTATTGAAATGTTTGCCCATTCTCAATCAAGAGTTTATTGGGTTTGTGTATCTGAAATTTTGTCTTCCCGATTCCAGTCATAAATTACGTCATAGCGTGCAAACTTTTGGTAGACGTTGTCATTCCCGAATGCCCAAACGTCTCAGGAACACACAGGTACTCGAATTAAAAGTAAAGTTTTGGCTAGATTCCATTAATTAATTAGCCCCGCGTGCCATGGTTTGGGACTGAATCCGTGAAGAGGGTTAACTCCGCAGAACATGTTTTATGTTAATTATTTATAAGTTTCCAGACAAAGAGTATGGATGATCAAACAAAAATCAGACTGAGTGACTTCCCCTATGACAAGACACTATATAATACCTGCTTACTCAGTGCAGTTGATGTGGTTATGTGTACCATATATTGGCCATTACCATATGGCTGTATGGTCTCAACAAGAAATATATACGCCGTGTTCCTTTATTTTAAAGCACACAAAAAGTTGAAAGTAGGAAAACAACCACTGAGACCACCAATCACATAGGCTAATGATAAAGCAACAGAAACAGCATCAGTATACAGGTCCGTAGCCAGAGGGGGAGCTGGGGGAGCGGAAGCTCCCCCCCTGGTCAGAACTGAATTCTTTTAAAATCATGCAGTTTTTCACCATTCTGAGAATTTTTCGCATGAATTTTAGCCAAAATTGTGAAAAAGCTCCCCCCCCTGGAAAAAAGCCCCCCCCTGGTAAAAGCTGGCTACGGGCAAGAGTATATGTAGTTAAGGAATAAATAATGATAGGCCATTCAATATGGTGAAATTCAGCACGAGTTGGACAGAATGTTGTACAAAGCACGAACCGAAGGTGAGTGCATTTGTACTAACATTCTGTCCAACGAGTGCTGAATTTCACCATATTGAATGGCCTATCATTATTTATTCCGATTCAAACATAAAAATTAGTAAAAGCCGTGTCTGTGGAACGGGCATGAAGGAAGAATACGCATGAGATGTGACGTCACTCAAAACAATGCAAATTGCAGATTGAATAGAGCATGGTCGTGCATCTATGGAGAATTAGAGAACGTTCTATATTGGCTATGCTGCATTCTGATTGGTTGAGAAATTCGAATAGAGCACGGTCATGTTTGAATCTTTGATAGACGTTAATCACTCTACTATACCTTGCATTTGGTGTTCATGAGCAACTCATTTGGCTTATTAGTAATGATTATGTATTTGTTTTTATTTGTCTGTTCCTTATGAATGGTTTATCGGTTGAAAGTTAGATGCCAGTAAGGCACTTTCAAAAATATATTAAACAATTCAATTAGACAAACAAAGTATCTTATGCATTTCTAGGTGTTAGGTATAGTAGTGTGTAATTCGTAAATGTAGATCGACAGCCCAGGTCAGTACCACGACAGGTATTCAAAAACGTAAAATTGGATAGTAAACCCTAACTTTGTCCCTATTGAACTCTCACACAGATAGGATGTGAGACGTTGGTCAAAAACCTCAGTAGCCTAATGTACACTTGGATGGCTATTCCTAACATATGCAGAAAAGTAGGTCTGACATTTGTTGCACATATTTCACCATTTATCATCTGAACTGACTGCGCGACATGGCTCTAATTGCGGAAACATTATCGCTGCTTTATGGTTCCATCAACAAAATTGTTTGAGGGATGTGTATGTTTTGATAGCATTTGCAATGAAAAATATGCCATTCTTAGCCTATCTAGGCTGACCAAACATAACCTAAACCTCTCCAGTGGCGTGGGTAGTGATTGTTGTTATGACAACAGGCTATAGGTAATTACAAATCATAGAGTCATTGGATCTTTTCCGATCAATGATTTCAGTTTCTCAAAATTCTCAAAACGTCGCAGAATAGGTCGTTATTATAAACTTATTTTTCGTTCAGCCCTTATCGTCCGTTTTAGAATTATTGAAAGCTATGAAATATATTAGGGTTATACACATATGAAAAAACGCAACTCGGCGCTTTAATGATGACACTTCCTTCGCAGTCAGATGATGAAATGGGTTAGACGATTCCATTGACAATCTTGTCGATATTACTTTAAGTAAATGAGATACGTCTTTGTCCATTTTCATGGTTATGTCAGATTAGAATTTGACGCAATTTTAATTTGATCAAAATGATGCCATCGATGGATAAAACCGTGCGAAAAAGAATGTTTGAAATGTACCCGGCAAAATCGGAAATCGCAAAAAATGGCCTTTACAAACTAGATCAGATTCATAATTTTGAGCGAATTGCCATCGTCGGTTCCCACGCTCAATCACTACGTTCTATCGGATAGGTCCGAAACTTGATGAAGCAAGATGGCGAATTGCGGCCAACTCGTAAACTGAAACGCTTAAGAGTGAGAAAATGCAATCTCGCTCACTCGTCCAGGTCTCACCTATACTCGAGCTTTACTCGACAAACTCACACGTAACACAGCGTGAAACTACTGACA